GGGTATTCCAACCCATTACTTACATAAATCAGCAAAACAGCAGGTTGCAAAAAATATTCCTACCGGCTGCTGTAAAAAGAACAAAACATTATAAGATCCCAAAGAGGTCAAGTTCAAACTCTGTCTTTCTACTTAAGTTCGATCTTTAAACAATTGATTGGGTTCTCGCACCAAGCTGACAAAGAAAACCCATCCATTCCTGCAATATTCTTAGCCCAGTAAAAAGATTGAGTTTGAACTAGCTCAAAGAAACAGTCGACCTTTGCTTCCTTTTTGTTAAAAATCAAGTCATTCCTTCCCAGCCAAAGAGTCCATACCACTGCAAACCAAATGATATTCCACCCTCTATCTATTAATTTTTTGCCCCCAATCCATTTTTGTTGGTCTAAAACCATCCTACAAGAATTACCCATAACGTGTTGCATACCCCACCACTTGTAGCATTTCATCCACAAAGTAAAAGCCAAGTTGCAATTAACAAACATGTGGTCAGATGACTCAATTGATGTATCACACCAGCAGCAACTTAAACTTGAGGTATCAGTTAAGATTCCACGGGTTGCTAAATTATCTTTTGTAGGAAGTTTCCTATGAAGCAATTGTCAACAAAATGCACCTACGGTGGAATGGAATGGGGCTTTCCACACCCTCTTGAAGTAGCCTGCAGGCCTTGTAACGCCCTTTAGGAGTTAGATTGTTAGTTAGTTAGATTTAATCATCATATTTATTTTAAATTTTTTATGTCAAAAAGTTATTTAGCAGTAAAAGTACTACATTTGGGGCCGATTGTTGACAAAATTACAAAATTTATAAAATCACGTCTATTACTAATTAAAATTTCATATTTAAAGAGAATAGTATGGGAGTTGAGATGTGTTTTTAATAATAATAAGGTAATTATTAATAGGCAAAACCCCTTGTAAGCCCCCGGACTCATCCCAAATAATTAGCCCATAAGCCCCTAAACTAAAATGATGCAAATAAGCCCTCAAACCTCTTGAATGATGCAAATTAGCCCTTAATTAAAAGATGAAAATTAGCAATTATCATTACCGATCCAAATGACAAAGCATGTGATCTCACACCATTTGTTTTTTCCTTTGCTTGATCCCACTTTTTCAAGTGTATAGTAATGTGGATCAAAGGACATTTTGTGCAGTAATAATCCTGTCAAAATGGCCTGCATGACCCCTCTTTTTTTATTTAATGTTCTCATATTACATAAACCATTTTGGTAGGATTAATTTTAAGCTCAAGGGATCTTTTGATTTACACCAACATCCACATGAAAAAGTGATCAGACCAAGTGAAGGAAAACAACAGATGATATGAGGTCACATGCATTGGATTGTTAATGATGAGAGTTAATCTTCATCAATTAAGCAATTTAAATGCCTATTTGTACCCTTTTTAATTTAGTTTAGGGGTTTATGTGTTAATTTGGGGTAAGTGAGGGGGTTTTGCCAAAAAAGGACTTTTTTTGATATATTGAATCTGCATCTGCATCTGCATTCTGCAATCAAAGATGACGTTTTTGTCATAAATTTCTAAATTTATACAAATAATGAATTTGGCCTAAAATTCCAACAGAATTAGGATTCTGATTCTGATTCTGATTTATTACTCCCTCGGAACGTTTTTTATTTTCTCTATTTATTTTATTTTAGGGACAATTTTTATTTTTGGGTTGTATTACATATGACTAAAATTTAAAATCAATAATATGACATAAATTAGGTAATTAAATAAATAATTGTATATAATATTATTTTTTAATATTTTAAATAATACAATTTATGTTAAGTATTGATGTTAAATTTTAGTCCCAAATTTTTTATCACATTTATCATTATTTTTTTATTTTTAACTATTTTATCTTTAAAAAAAAGAATATTTTTCATATTAGGAAAGATAATTAAAATTAAAAAGATAAAAATGGCAACCCGTATTATTAGGTGAGAAATTCTAAATCAACAAAAAGTGTATTATTTCGGATAGATCAGAGTTAGGCTGAAAAGGAAAATGATATGCACATTTGGATTTAACACTTAACTGTGTACATTCCACATAAAAAAAATAGAAAATACCTAGATCATTTTTTTTTTTTATGTAAAGGGTACACAGCCGGGTGTTAAATCATGGTACGACTCCAAAAAGAGAAATATTTAGGCTGGAATTCCAATAGTTTTACTAGTTTGGTTTTTATTTTTTAGTTTTTGCTCTCTGTTTTGGTGTGAGGAGGAGATAGAAATAAAGAGATGGACGTCAAAGGCGAAGCAGCGGCAGCCATGGAGGTCGAAGGCGACGCAGTTATCCCCGTGGATAAAGATGGACGTGGAAATGGAGAAGTTTATAACGATAATCCTATTGAGGAAGTGAGGTTGACAGTTCCGATCACCGATGATCCCTCGGAACCGGCCTTAACATTCCGGACATGGTTTCTGGGGTTATTGTCATGCTGCATTCTCTCTTCTTTGAATCAGTTCTTCAGCTACCGACAAAACGTTCTCAGTGTCTCCTCTGTTTCCGCACAAATTATTTCTCTCCCCCTCGGAAAGCTCATGGCTGCTGTTCTTCCTACAACAAAACTCCGGTTCCCCTTTACAAATTTCTCATTTTCCCTTAATCCAGGCCCTTTCACCATGAAAGAACATGCCTTGATCACCATCTTCGCCGATTGTGGAGCAGGTGGTGTTTATGCCATCTATATTGTTGGAATAGTGAAGGCTTTCTACCGCAGAAAGCTGCATCCAATCCCTGCCATGTTGCTAGCCCAAACCACACAGGTATATATGTATATATATCGGCATTTTTGCAGCATCTTAGGCTGAACAGGATCATTTTTTTTTTATTTTTTGGGTACATGATCATAGGTGGTGTTTATACCATTTTCAAAATAAAGGTATAATTATGATGATACAAGGAATCATAGGGCTAGGCTAAAAGTTGGAAGAGACACAGTCAGTATCTGATTATAGGACCCAGACGAGTTTTTCATCCAATTCCTTTCCTTTTTCAATTTTTTTTTTTTTTTCTTCATGCACCATTGAAAGCTCAAAGTCTAGTGCCCCTGGAACACATTATGGAAATAAATAAAGAAAAATATTTTATTAATTTATTTGCATGCTATTTGAATTTTTAAATATTTTATTTGAACTTGAATCATTAATGAACAAATTTAAAATTTTAATTTAAGGCATTTTTGTTTATTTTTATTTATATTAAATGTAAAAATATAAAAATTTAATTTACCCAGATCTTACTTATGATGCTATTTGCAATCTCATGATTTGTGATCTCATCTCTTTCTTCTCATCTTAGGTGAAATTAATCCTGATTTTGATCGCCTTAATTAGGATTTCAATATATGTATTTATTAACTCTAACATTTATGTATATATATAATTATATATAAGAACATTAATTCTTTCTTATTTTGTTTAATTTATTTATTCATCGTGATGCAGTTGCTTGGGTATGGATGGGCTGGATTGTTCCGAAAATACTTGGTCGAGTCTCCTTACATGTGGTGGCCAGGACTCTTGGTTCAAGTTTCTTTGTTCAGGGCATTACATGAGAAAGAACGTAGACCCAAAGGAGGACTTAGTAGGCTGCAATTCTTCCTCATAGTTTTCATCTCAAGTTTTGCTTACTATGTCATTCCCGGTTTTCTCTTCCCCTCAATATCTGCCCTCTCCTTTGTGTGCTGGATCTGGAAGGACTCATTGACTGCACAGATGGTTGGCTCAGGTCTCCGTGGCTTCGGAATAGGCTCCTTTGGCCTTGACTGGTCTACAGTGGCATACATCGGCAGTCCACTTCCCAATCCTTTAGTTACCATTGTGAATACCATGGTTGGGTTTTTCCTGGTGTTTTACATTCTTATACCAATTTTATACTCGAGAAATGCATATGAATCCAGACGTTTTCCCTTGTTGTCATCCCACACCTTTGATCTCCAAGGTAACACTTACAACATTAGCAGGATCCTCAAGAGCAAAACTTTTGAGTTCGATCAGGCTGAGTATGATAATTACAGCAAACTCTATATGAGTATCACATTTGCCGTTGTATATGGATTGCAATTTGCGACTTTAGCGGCCAGCCTCTCTCATGTTGCGCTCTACTATGGAAAGTAAGTATTTAATTGCAGGCATGCTTTTGTAACTTAAATTAATATATATATATGAAAAAATGTATATCAATCTTGTTTTTTTAAAAAAATTTAAATTCTAACCTTAAATAACATTTGTTTCATTTAATTAAAATGTTGTTTTAAATAAAATAAAATAATATCATTTAAGGTTAAAATTTTAATTAATTTTTTATTAAGAACTAAAACTGAACGTATTATTTTGGTATGTGTGTATATATTTTTTTTTTAAATCAATATTTATATTTATATGAACATGTACATGCAGGACGACTTGGGACATGTGGAAGAAAACAACAGCTGCAGCCAAAGAAAAGTGGAGCGATGTGCATGCTAGAATAATGAGAAACAACTACAAAGCTGTCCCTCAATGGTGGTTTCTAGTTGTATTGATTTCGACAATTGCTCTTGCCCTCTTTGCTTGTGAAGGTTTTGACAAGCAGCTCCAACTCCCATGGTGGGGACTTCTACTGGCCTGCTCTCTCTCCCTCTTCTTCACCTTACCCGTTGGAATAATTCAAGCCACAACAAACATGGTACTAATATTTTACACCACTTGTGTGTAAATGGATTCTTACTATATATATATTATATATATATTATGGACTGTTTAATCTGATAGAGTAGATATATATTCTGAATTAATTTTTGAGTCTATGTATGTAACATATATGGTTTAATTATATATATGTGCAGCAACCTGGGCTAAATGTGATTACAGAGTTGGTAATTGGGTATCTTTACCCAGGGAAGCCTCTTGCCAATGTGACTTTCAAGACCTATGGCTATATTAGTATGGCCCAAGCCCTATTTTTGATCTCTGACTTCAAATTGGGACATTACATGAAGATTCCTCCCAGATCCATGTTCATCGTTCAGGTCAAATTTTTTAATTAATTAAATACATAATAATTAATTAATTTTTTTATATATTATATTATTAATTATATCATATATATTGTATGTGGACTAATTTCATTTTGTCAATTTACAACAATGTTTGATTACTTCAGTTGGTTGGAACCATAGTTGCTTCCTCAACCTGCTTTGGCACTGCTTGGTATCTTCTATCAAATGTGGAAAACATATGTCACCCATCTTTGCTACCTGAAGGAAGTCCTTGGACATGCCCCAACGATGACGTTTTCTACAATGCTTCAATTATCTGGGGGATTATAGGACCTCTAAGAATGTTCACAAAATACGGTATCTATCCAGAATTGAACTGGTTCTTCCTCATTGGAGCAATCTCCCCTTTCCCAGTCTGGTGGCTATCGCGCAAATACCCCGAAAAGAAGTGGATAAATCTCATCCACATGCCACTCATCATGGCTGGTGCCTCTGGCTTGCCATCAGCCAAAGCCGTGCACTACATAATGTGGGCATCTGTTGGGATTTTCTTCAACTGGTACATCTACAATAAGTACAAGGGATGGTGGGCTAGATATACTTATATCTTATCAGCTGCTCTGGATGCTGGAGTTGCTTTCATGGGTGTTACCCTTTTTTTTGCACTGCAATCTTATGATATCAATGGTCCAGATTGGTGGGGTTTGGAGGCTACCGACCATTGTCCATTGGCATCCTGCCCCACTGCTCCTGGGATTCGGGTTGAAGGCTGTCCTGTCCTTTGAGATTTAAGTATAATATATTTAAGTTGTCTGTTCCTCATGCACTCCAAAATGCATGCATATGCATATGTCATAAGACTCTCTGTCCTTTTAGTTGTCTTGTTGATATAATCAACATCTCTTTCTTCTTCTTCTACCTCTTTTTTCTTTTCCTCTTTGAACAATTGATTGAAGGAAGTATTAGAAAGAAGAATAAGAAATATTTGAAGAAAAGTTTATTGCTTTCTTAAATAATATTGTATGTACAATAACCTATATATAAGTTTTTATAAAGAGAATATTTTAAGGTATAAAGTATATAAAGTGAATATTTTAAAGTATAAAATATTTACAATAATTGTGTTTACATCTTAACATCCCCTCAAACTTAAGGTAATTGTGATGAATCCAACTTGAGTTTGGAAGCGTCCAAGAAAGTGAGCCTTGGTAAACAAATCAACAGGCTGATCAACAGAACTAATGAAAATCAAATGAATAGTTCCCTTTTCAACATGATGACGAATAAAGTGACAATCAATCTCAATATGCTTTGTACGTTCATGGAAGACATCATTGTGAGCAATTTGTATAACACATTGATTATCACAATATAAATCAGTAAAAGAAGGTTGAGGAATGCCCATATCTTCAAGAAGCCATCGTAATGAAAGAAGTTTTGATATAGTATCACCAAGAGCTCTATACTTAGCTTCAGTACTAGAACAAGATGGAATGGTTTGTTTCTTACTTCGCCAAGAGATAAGAGAATTATTAAGGAAAAGACAATAATTGGTGGTAGATCTGCGAATAGAAGGATTACTAGCCAAATCAACATCAAAATAAGCACAAAGCACAGGGGAGGAGTTAGCAAAAAAATGGAGTCCATGAAACAATGTTCCCTTAACGTAGTGAATAATGTGAAGTACCCTGCAAAATGAGTGGAGCAAGGAGCAGCCATAAACTGACTAACAATGTGAACTGCATATGCCATGTCAGGGCATGTCGTGATGAAATAAACCAGACTACCAACCAATTGCCGATAGTGAGTAAGATTAGAAAGTGGAGAGCCATTCATAGGTGTAAGCTTGACATTAGGTTCAAGATGTGTAGAAACACTCTTATTGTCATTGAGTTCAGCTTTAAAAACAAGATCAGAGGCATACTTTACTTGAGAAAGCAGGTAGCCATCATCTGAAGAAGTGACTTCAAGCCCCAAAAAATAGCTCAGAACACCAAAATCTTTCATCTCAAATTTCTAACTGAGAGATTGTTTTAGCTCCTCAACACCTATGATATCATCTCCAATCATAATCATGTCATCAACATTAATAATCATGTCGTCAACATAAAGAATTAAAAGGACCATACCCTGACTAGTCTTGCAAATGAACAGAGCTGTATCATGTGGACTCCAAGTAAAACCAAACTCACTCATAGAAGCACTAAACTTTGCATACTAGGCTCGAGGAGATTGTTTCAACCCGTATAATGCACGTCACGATCAGCATACCTTGTTTGGAGGATGGTTGAGTCCAAGAGGTGGTTTCATGTCAACTTCTTCTTCTAGGTTACCATTAAGAAAGGCATTTTTCACATCCATATGAAACAATTTCCATCTCCGTATAGTAGCGATAGCAAGCAAACTGCTCACAGATGTAAGACGAGCAATTGGAGAAAATGTTTCCTCATAGTATATTCCACACTCCTGTGTAAAACCCTTGGCAACCAAGCGTGCCTTATAATGCTCCACAAAACCATCAGCTCTTGTTTTGATCTTGTACACCCATTTACAGCCTATTAGAGACTTTGTAGCAAGGAGATCAACTAAATCCCATGTTCGAGTGTTCTCAAGAGCTTGTAATTCATCTTGCATAGCTTGTTGCCAAAGAGGGTTAACAAAGGCCTCTTGATATGATTGAGGCTCATGTAAAGAAGTAATTGCAGGAAAACAATGATAATCACGAAGGTAGTTGGGAAGGTTTCTTACCTGAGTAGGACGACTCAAGGATGGGACAACAAGCTTATTTGTAGACTCAATAATATCAAATGCACCATCAATAGAGGATACAGATGAGGAAGCAGAAGAAGGCTCTGAATTATCTAATGCATTACTAGTAGGCAAATCATCTTCTGTAGAACTAGTTGGAGCATGTGGTGAGGCATTGTAGAGCTCATCAAATGTACCTACATCAGAATCACTAGGGAATAGCTCAATAGAAGGATTAGTATAAAATGGAGTTTGATCAAAAGATGACACTTGGAAGTTTGATAACGAGGAAAACATAGTGTGTTCCCAAAAGACAACATGACGTGAGATTCGAAGTTTTTGTGACACAAGATCCCAACAATGATATCCTTTATGTGTAATCCCATAACCCAAAAAACAACATAATCAAGCTTTAGGCTCTAACTTGTTATGTTCATGAGGTGGAAGAAGAACAAAACAAGCACAACCAAAAATCTTAAGAAGATCATAGGTAGGAGGAATACCATGCAAACATTTGTAGGGAGACTTATTATTAATGACTGATGATGGAATCTGATTAATGAGATGAATAGCTGTAAGAGCAGCTTCACCCCAAAATCACTCCGGACAAGAAGGCGAAATGAGCAGAGCACGAACAAAATCAAGGATATGCTTGTGTTTATGTTCGCCTCGCCAATTCTTTCAGATGTGTAAGGACAAGATTGTTGTGTCAGTGTACCTTGTTATTTGAGAAAGGATTGGAGTTTAGTACTAAGATATTCAATGGCATTGTCAATTCTCAAAACTTTGATAATTTTAGAGAATTGGGTTTTGACCAAGGTAGCAAAATCCATATAAATTTGTGGTAACTCATAGTGATTTTTCATAAGATATATCTAGGTAAAACAAGTATGATCATCAATGAATAACACAAAGTACTTGGAAACCCCCATGGTAGGTGTCAAAGATGGACCCTAAACGTCAAAATGCATGAGATCAAAAGAAGCAACAGAGAGAGAATGACTACTAGAAAAAGATAAAGCTGGTTATTTTGCAGATTTACATGACACATAATGCAAGGATTCATTTGGAACAGATCCTAATAAACCAAGAAAGATAAGTGGATGAAGTTTACCGATTGAGGTATGTTCAAGCTGTGTGTGCCACAAATGAGGAGGAGAAATGTTAGTAACAGCACAAACTTTGAAGATTTATTGATATGGAATTTGCAAAGACTCCAATCAACAGCACAAAGCAGGGTTTGGATGAATTGATCATTTGGAAATGATGGTGTATCCATTTTATTATTAGGAATATGCAAATAGTTGAGCTCAAACAAATGCCCCACTTTGCGACCAGTTCCAAGAAGTTATCCTGTCTGTGGGTCCTGCCCACGACAACCATGAGCAGAAAATATTACTTCAAGATCAAGATCACATAATTGACCGATAGATAGAAGGTTATAACTAAGTTTTGGAACTAAGAAGGCATTTGGTAAAGTCAATGACTTTGTAGAAATATTGCCAATGTGACTAATATTCATAGAGGAACCACCAGTATAATAAATATAAGGAAAGGAATTATTTGGTGACATTTAAGAGAAATGAGCAATAATTGAAGACATGGTTACAACAACCAGAATCAAAACACCAAGGTTTGGTACTTGGAGCAGTAGATAAGGGAGTAAGAACATTAAAAAGATTTAATATCACCTATTTTAGGAATTCAAGGTTGACATTAGGTTGGTCTATTACTTCTTTAGCAACCATAGCAGTAGCAGAATGAGTTAAAATCCTTTCAAAACTCGCCATAGAATTAGTAAAGTTCACAATACTAAAAAACTCTAAAAATATGAAGAAATAGATGCCAAGATCGAAAGAACAAACCAACAAAATACCTCAAAAAGGGCCTGAGAATTGAGAATAAACAATCCAATTTATAGGAGAAGAGATCCCAACAACAAGGTTTCAAATCTGGAGTGGATTTGAAAATCTAACTTCAAAAACCAAGTAACAATGATAAAAGAAAAGAATTGAGAGCCTATAGCTCTGATACCATATTAGAAAGAAGAATAAGAAATATTTGAAGGAATGTTTATTGCTTTCTTGAATAATACTGTATGTACAATGACCTATACATAAGTGTTTACAAAGAGAATATTTTAAGGTATAAAGTATATAAAAAGAATAGTTTAAAATATAAAATATTTACAATAACTATGTCCACGTCTTAATAGGAGGTTAATATCAACATATATTTCAACTATTTTTCTTTTTCTTTTCTTTTCTTTTTTTTGTGCAACTCTTCAAATTTTCATATTTGAGTTTGCATTATTTTTTTTTCTACCAACTCTTAAATTTTATAATGACTTTTTATATTCTAATTAAGTGATTGCATTTGTTGAATAGCAGACTGTATTTGGTAACTGGGAAGAATATTTTTTGAAAAAGTTGTATATAATCAAAGTATATTAAGATAATTCAAAAAAAAACTTGATATTAATCTTTATTTCATAATCCAAATATATGTATTTATTTTTTCTCTCAATTAAGGATTCAAACAATATGTTTTCTTCCCTCAATCAAAACAATACAATTAAATAAAATTTAATATCCGTCTGTTGCACGTACAACATAATTAAATAAAATTCAATACTTGTGCATGACAGGTGCAATAACCAAATTTTATATTAAAAAAATTCAAACAAAATATTAACTTGCACGTGCAAAATCCATAAAGGACCATCAAAGTCCAATAGTCTCCCATTCCTTCTTTTTTTTTTTTTTCATTACTCCCTTTAATCTTTTTAAGTTGTTCAAGTTTCTCAACAATTGTAAATTAACTTAACAATTTTCTATAACAAACAAATACTAATTAATTAATTTTTATCTGAATGAAAATACCAAACAAGAATTATGTATAGAAAAAGAAAACAATTTTTAATTGTCATCTAATATTTAGTATATAAATAAAATTATTTAAATTAGGAGAAGTAAATCCGAGCAAATGGAATATATATACTTCCCGCCAAGACCCCAACTACTAACAAGAGCTCTCAATTAATTTAGTAGACTGGGAACTAAAACTTAGTTCACAAACCAATTGATATTTTATTTGAACACTAAGGAGTAAAGTGTGAAGATAGTCATACTAAAGCTATGGACAAAATCTTGAAAATTTTACACAAGGACGTGGCATTATGCCCAAAAGATGGGATAATTAAGACAACAATGTAAGGAAAAGTTATACAAAATTTTCTTAAAATTTTATGAAAAATACTATATATTAATAACAAAAATATTATACAATCTGAATTATATTAAATTGTATAATTTAAATTATTAAATTAGAGATGAACTCATGATATTGGGACTATGTCCATTTAAAAGTTTTGATCTCTATTAATAAACCATTATTAGAATTAGAAAAGAAAAGAAAAAATAAACCAGAATTAAGACGGCAATTTTCATGTAAAATGTTGGGTTTATTTGAAGGAGACGATTATCTGAAAGGTTTCGATTGGCAAAGATAAAGTTTAGGGGTTCAACTGACAGTTAAAGTGAAGTTTCAGGACCAAAGGGGAGGTTCCTCATTACTAAAACCCTAATTAACATGCAGGCCCTGTCTCTTCCCTCCACTAAGCCGCTCCTTAAACCCTGAGCGCGCTAAGGGAAGTGATTCAATGGCTGAGAACGAAGGTAAGGAGGAGGAAAAGAAGTTCTCCATATGGGACTTGCCGGACGTTCCAATGGGCAAGCTGCCACCACACCTTGAGCTCCAGAGAACTCGTGTTGTCTGCAATGTCGATGCTCCAATTCATGTATTTCTCTCTTCGTCTTAACCCTTCCCATATTTACCAATTTCTGAACTAATTTTCTTATGGGTATGAGCTTCTGTCAAGTCTAACGTTGTAAAAGAAATTCGATTTAGATTGGCGATGTATATGTCTCTATCGTTGGATTACTCGTCCTGCTCAAAGATGCATTTTTTAGAACATGTTCAAGAGAAAAATTCATGCTTTATTGTGGTGGTGTTTACAAAATTGCTTTTTTTTTTTTCCTGCACTAGATCATTGCTGAGAAAGATGTAATTGTGTCTACCACCATGTGACGAAGCAAAAGTGTTTAGAGTCAAGTTTGAAGTTGTTTATGTTTTTCAGTGTGGTAATGAATATTGCGGATTTCTGTCCCTCATAAAATTCTTATATGGTAGAATTTTGGTGTTTGTAGACAGAGAGTATACAATATTCTGGTGCTTATGCATCAATGGGAGTCGATAACAGTTTACGGCTTGATCACTTCTCCAATAACTTTAGAGTTGAAGTGGTTCGGCTTACAGAGGAGGTCATGGAGTTTGATATGATTGGTATTGATGCAGCAATTGCCAATGCATTTAGGAGGATACTCATAGCTGAGGTGTGTGCTTTCTGCTACTAGCAGATGCCTGATTTTTATTTTGATTGAGACTATAAAATTGTAATATTTTATTTTGATCTATGTTATTAAATTCAGTCTGTTTTTCTGGTCTTATTCTTCATTGTATGCATGCAGGTTCCAACTATGGCTATTGAGAAAGTTTTAATTGCTAATAATACATCCATAGTCCAAGATGAAGTTCTTTCCCATAGGTTGGGTCTCATTCCAATAAGTGCTGATCCAAGGCTCTTTGAGTATATGTCAGGTTTGACTCAAATATATCCCTGGTTTGAAGTGTTTCTAATGAAACAAGAGAAAGTTTTATTTTTTCCCACTTTTGCATGTATTGGTGCATTTGTTAATTGTTTCCCCTTTTCCTTTAATGTAGACAATGATCAGCCGAATGAGAAGAACACCATTGTTTTCAAACTACATGTTCGTTGTAAAAAAGGTGGCCCACGTTTTACAGGTATAGTTCTGTCTAATGCTTGACAAATGAAACCTTTCAGATTCAGTGAACTTCACTGTTGATTCTACTTTCTGTTCACTGTTGATGGATTGTTTAATTGTGCCAAAATATGTAATGCAGTCAAATCCGATGAACTGAAGTGGCTACCACAGGGGAGTGAATTTGTTAAGGATTCAAGAAGTGCTACTTCAAGTTCAAATTCAAAGCCTGAAACCTATACTTCATTCACTTGCAGACAAGACTCCTTGCCAGATTTTGTAAACAATGCCCCTGGCCCCAAGTATCTGGATATTATTACTGCCATACTTGGCCCTGGACAAGTAAATCTACCTTATCTTTGGGTTTCCCTTTTGTTATTTATAATCTCTGGCTGCAGTTGAGGTTTAAGTTCAATAGTAGTTATACCTGCAAGGTTGCAGAGTTGGATATCATTGCTCATTTAAAAAAATTCTATCTGCATTTCTTTGGCCTTTTAAACAAGTATATTACATCTGCATCAAATATCATATTGGACTTTGGATGGGTTTGTCAGTTGTAGAGCTTTATGAGGCCTAGGAGTTGATCTTCATAGTTGGACCAGATTGCTGCTTAGAGGAGAAATCTGGACGATATACATGTTTTCCATGCTAATGGATGTCCTCAACATGGAAGACCCCTTTCTTTCTCATGGACTAGGATTCCAAGAAACAATTATTTGATCAGTTAGAAACCCATCATTGTTTGTTTTGTAATATGAAAACCACCATAGTCCATTTTTCTCTCTTATCACTGGGAAAAGTTGTGTTCTCTGTTGGTATAAATTCTGTTTTGAAGGCTAGCTGTTGGGGTTGAAAAAGTCACTTAGTTCTCTGCTAAAGATATATATTTCCTTTTTCCTTTTCTAGGAAATTGAATTGGAAGCTCATGCTGTTAAAGGAATAGGTAAAACACATGCCAAGTGGTCTCCTGTGGGTACTGCTTGGTATCGAATGCTTCCTGAGGTGACTACAATTCTTATTTTTAAGTTGCTTCCATATAATGCATTCCTTTTACTTTGTTTTTCTTCTCTTTTCTGTTTCTTTTGAGCTATTCTTTTTCATCTGCAGGTTGTGCTGTTGAAAGAGGTTGAAGATGATGTTGCAGAAGAACTCAAAAGGAGATGCCCAGTTAATGTATTTGATATTGAAGATATTGGAAATGGTGAAAAAAATTTCCTTCTCTTTGAATATGTTTTCTATATGGTCAAACCATAAGTTTACCTACTGTTGAATTTGGTACTCAGGTTGGATAATGAGTAGTTATGGTAAAAAGAACCTTCATAAGCTGATGAACTACTTCCTGTTAAGCAGGTAAGAAGAGTGCTACTGTTGCACGTCCACGAGATTGCACCCTTTGTAGAGAATGCATTAGAGGGGGTGAAGAATGGGAGAAACGTGTGGCTCTACGCCGTGTTAAAGATCATTTTATATGTAAGGCAGACTACATGTTAGCACCAGCAGAGCATTTGGTGAAAGTTTGCCTCTACTATTATTATTTTGAGTTCTAAAATGCATTTCTCTATCTTTGTAGTTACCATCGAATCAACTGGAGCATTGCCTCCTGAAGTGCTATTTACAGAAGCTGTTAAGGTACTTGAAGATAAATGTGAACGTGTGATTACGGATCTCAGTTGATGCTTTTTTACATGTTTAGCACAACGATGCTGCAGCAACGGACGTGTAAAAGAAATGGAAACCAACAATTTCTTCACCAGATTAGAATAATATCTAAGGTGAAATTTTGTGTGTTCGGGTAGTGGAGCATTCTATTGGCAATAGGACAATAAGATTGCCGGCTTTTGTTAATCCCAAATCTTTAGCATCATGAACCACACAGAATCAAAGAGTACAATCTACACCTTGGTTCACATGATGCTCACAGAATCCTTTATGTAACTATCACATGATACTTTCCCTCATTGTCAATTTGCAGATTGTATATTTCAATTTGCCAGATCTTTAAAGAATATTTCATCTTGATTTGTGTTTGCCCATATGCTGCATGTGACAATGGATGAGTATAAAGACAAAGGAATCTATCCTGGTTTCCTGTGGCCACTTTACATGCATTTTAAATAAAGATAAAGAAATAGTAGAGACTTTGGTTTTAGTCCATCGATTTGATTCCATCTTTGACTTATGCACCATTTTCTTGAGTAAATAGTGCATTGAAATTAGATTTATATTTGATGAACGTGCTTGATGGTTAACAAGAATCCAAGGCCCTTGGATTTTTTTAAAAGAAGGAGGCAAAATGGGGAAGGAAGAAATGAAGGTTGAATTGAAATGAAAGCAGGTGCCTTTTTCTGTTATCTTGTAATTGGACTGCTTCAATTCAACTAGAAAATCAGCTAACCTTCCAAGTGCCCCTATAAAACAATCTAATGATCAATGTGTCTCCCTCCATGGAGGAAAAAATTGGCATTTTTTAAGGTTCGGTTTATATCTTCTACCAGTTCCAGTTGGTTAAAAAGGTACGTATAATTTGGTTCTTTGCATAATTGCATGGGTTAATAATCACTTTTGAAAGCCATGATCCAAGGCGAAGATAATGATCATGAGATCTGACCCACAAGTTAGGCACTAGCAGGTCAAAAAAAGGGCTGAGCTACGCAATACCATGTTTTTGTTTTTTTTTATCCTTGTTCAAACATTAGTTCTTGAAGGAGGACATGTAAAAGTGGATGCACTTTGTGGAAGGAAAAGATTAGATTGACAATTATTCCACCAAATTGTACTTCCCCTGCTGACTACAAAAATACAGGTAATAAGACAACAAAATAGATAAAGAAAATTAGAGGCTACCATGAAATTCCAAATCTTGTTTTCTTCCTTGAAAGGAAACAAAATTAGGCATTATTGAAGAAACAACTTCTGAACTCTTTTTGATACATTGATGTTGCTTCTAGACTATTAGATTTAACTTGTTCATGTTTTTGCCATAGATGTTGGGAAGGAAATGTAGCTGGAAATTTTTAGGTAGTGTTGGATTTGTTTTCATAAAGATACATGTCAATTCCAAGATGTAGCTGTTGGGGTTTATTCTTTTGCAAAGATTCCAAGTCCTATGTGGATTCTTATGTTTGTGAGCATGGAAGGACAAATGATGCAGTCCACACTCCACCTGGGTATATACTTAGTAGATTCATTGCAGATTCTACTGTCTGTCACCTTGTTGCTGCTGACTTCTACACAGTTTGTGCATTTCTCCAAGTTCCTGAATCCTTAAACCTTTGGTGTAAGAGAGTTTATATGCTTGGTTTTCAAGACACCCCAAAGGTAGATAATCAGTTGAAGCTACCCTTGGGTCATGATGAGTCCAGGGCATTTCATTGCTTGATTATAACAACCCAACCCACAAGGCAAAAGAAAAATGTTTAATCATTTATGTATGGACCACCAAAAAGGACGGCATAAAGAGTCACCTTTGGTCATTTACATTTCCCAGCAATTTATGCCCTGAAAATGGGAAACCCATTTCATTTCTTCTTTTTTAAATAATAAATAAGAAAAAGCTCGTTTCATTAGTTATCTAAATTTATTTAAAAAAACAAACTTTTTAAGTAGATTCCAAAATTAAAAAAGAAAAATAAAATTATCCTAAAGGCACTAGAGAAAAGTTGTACTAGTAGCTTTTTTAGAGACCCATATAATTTTTTTTTTTTTTGTTGAATGAGAGAGATAATACATAAAGACCCATATGTTTGATTAATTGATTGAGACATTTGTTGTGATTTTGGGACAAAGAAATTGATGCATGGAAATAATTAAGGGAAAGAAACTAAAGAAATGCAAGAGTGGGTGTGAAATTAATTAAGGTATTTTTTATATATTATTTAGAATTTTATGCATTTTACTTTATTCCATCATATTAAAAGTCCAATGTTGATATTAAAATTTTTAAATTATTTTAAAAAAATAATAATAAGAAATTTTATTTAAAATATTTTAATAATTTTAATGTTAAAATTATATTTTTAATATATAATCTAATTTAAAAACACTTTTTATATTATTAATTTATTAAAATATTTAATTTTTTTTATGATTAATGTAAAATTAATTCTAATTTTCTACCAGCCCAAGTCCCAACATATTATCCCAATAATTAAATTTGAATCCAAGACAAAACAACTTTGACCTTCTTCATCTCTCTCTTTGCATTGTAGACCAAATTTCTCTTTCTAATGTCTCTTCCTTTCTTTTCTCTTCTCTCCACTATCCACGCATTTTCAGGGGAGCAGCTCTCAGATATATAATTCTTTTATCCCTACAGTAGTGTTTGGTGAGGGAGAAACTGGTGAGAGGGAAAAAGGCTCTTTCTTTTAACTCCACTCCTAAAGAAAGGGGTTCAAAGTTCTGGTCTTTGAAACTATAAGGTACTTGTTTTTCTTTAGAGCTTCTTCTTCTCTTCACTTTTAACTGGTTTTGTGATTTTCTTTGTGGGATTTTGCTTATCTTCCCACTCTACTTTGTTTCTAGCGTATGAGTCTTAGAGGGGTTTTGGATCCAAATTGGTGGCTCTTAGTCTTGAGATCTGTAAGAATTTTCTTATCTTTGACTCTGGTGCGTGTTGGGAGGTGCACAGAGACTACAAGTAGGAGTGAATTGATTGGTTTTCTTCTATTGTTCATCTGAATGCTCTTTGATCCTTGTAAAATTTGCTAAAGTATACCTCTCAAAGATTGTTATTTCAAGGTAGTTGGTTGTTTCTCATATAATTAAAGATTGCTTCTTGTTGGGGATTATTTTCCTGGAGGTAGAATTTGATCTGGGTCTTCATGCAATTCTGTGTT